CAACGTGCTGGGGATACACTGGGGAGCAAAGCAGTCTGGTACCCCAGTGTCTGCCCAACTGTCTAACTGCTTAGGAGATTTAGCCAATTATTAAGGCAATAATTACACAGATAAATATATAATTGCAAATTGTAATGGCAAGGAATTTTTTTTATACTTTAAAAAATATATATATATCTTTATTGATTTCAGAGAGAGGAAGGCAGAGGGAGAAAGAAACATAGTGGTGAGAGAGTCATTGATTGGCTGCCTCCTGCATGCCCCCCACTGGGGATCGAGCCCACAACCCAGGCATATGCCCTGACCAGGAATTGAACCACAATCTCTTAGATCATAGGTCTATGCTAAACCACTGAGCCACGCTGGCTGGGCGGCAAGGAAATTAAAATTTTTATATTATTATTATTTTAGAGCGAGGAAGAGAGAGAGAGAGAGAGAGTTACATCGATGTGAGAGAGAAACATCGATAGGTTGACTCCTGCATGGGCCCGACTGGGGATGGAACCCACAAGCCCCCGGAATCCAACTAGCAGAGAACAACACTTTCCATGCAGAGAACAACACTCAACCAAATGAGCCACACCGGCCACGGCTGAAATGGTTTTGATATATGTCATAGTAGGCTTTTGCCTACTAGTTTTGTTAAGTCCACGTCTGTACCCAGGAATCTGGGGAAATGCTCACAAGATAAAGGCCAAGTGAAAGAGAGGGACTTCGAATTTTCTGTGAGTGCTTTCACTCAAAAGTTTCTCCTTGAAGGTGAGGGCTGGACCTGATTTCAGCTGGGTCCTGGGGTGGGTAGTGGTGTCCCTAAATGTTTATGCAAGAGAAGAAAAAGACAAACAAAAATAATAGGCTACCCAGTGGGAAGGAGCACTCTCAGTGACCAGATCGTGGTTCCTAAACAGCATTCTCCAATAAAAAGAACCAGGGCTTCTGGGAGAAATGGCTGATTGCAGGGATGGGGTAGGAAAAAGACAAGCTGAGCCTGGAGCATCGTGTAGCACACTAAGGAAGTGCTCAGGGAACAGAATGAAGGGGGCACGGCAAAGGGACCCAGGGGCCAGCCTGAAGGAACTCCCAAAGCTGGAAAAATTTGAACAACAAATTAAATAGCATAGGATTAGAGTCTAAGTCAAAGTATAAAATTAGCACACACGAGTCCTCCCTGGCCATATAGCTCAGTTGGTTAGAGCACTGTCCCAATGCACCAACGTTGCGGGTTTGATCCCCAGTCAGGGCACATACAAGAAGCAACCAATGACACGTAAATAAGTGGAACAACAAATCCATCTTTCTCTTCTCTCTCTCCCTTTCCCTCCCTCTCATGCTGGCATAAAATCTTTCTCATAAAGGAATTCCAGGTAATTTATTTGGATGCTTTCCCCTCCAGGAGGTGCGGCTTAGCTCCCCCTGATGGTGGACTGCGCTTAATGACTTGTTTCCAAACCACAGGTATGGAGAGGGGGACAATAGCAACTTCACAGTGGAAAAACCTGGAAACTCTATCTTAACCAAGCGATCATGGTTAATATCACAGTGAGAAGTCATGTGGTATGCCATGTGCCCCGTGAGAGGATGTGATGAGAGGGGCACCTCATCTGGTGGTACCTGCCCCTACAATCCATAACCCCTGGCTGGTCATGAGGAAAATATCAGAAGAAAAAAAATTAAGGGACATTCGGCAAAATACCTGACCAGTGCTCCTCAGGACTGTCAAGGTCATGAGAAGAACAAGGAAAGGTTGAGAAAGTGTTAAATGGACGGGACACACATGATGACTAAATACAATAGGGGATCCTGGGTGGGATTCTGGAACAGGAAAAAAAGCCAAATGCAGATAAAATTCAAGTAAAGTCTACAGTTTAGGTAACAGTAATTTAACAATGTTGGTTTCTTAGTTTTGACAAATGTCTTACAGTAATGTGAGATGGTAGCATGGGGGAATTTGAAATTAGCTAAGGCTCAGCAGTTGAGCAGCAACCTATGATTCAGGAGACGGCGGTTCGATTCCCAGTGAGGGCCCATGCCCGCTTTCGGGCTCCAACCCCAGTGCAGGGTGTGCAGGAGGCCGCCCATCAATGACTCTCATCATTGATGTTTCTCTCTCTTTCTCTCCCTCTCCCTTCTTTTCTCTGAAATCAATAAAGACATATTTAAAAATAAAATGAAATTAGCTAAGGGATAGATGGGAAATCTCTACTATTTTTGCAGCTTTCTGATAAACACAGACACACATACACAGGTAGAATAGAGTGGAAAGAAAAAGCAAAACTTTAGCAGTAAATATATTTGGGCAGTGGGAAAAGAATGCCTGTCTGCTTTTAACTCATCAAATATCTTTAATTAGGGTTTATTCCATTTAAACTTTCATTATTACACTATTTCTGATCAGAAGTCACCTATTGTATAGTGACAAAGAATGAAATAAAGCATTTTGCATAATACCTATATCATCTCATTTAATTCTCACAACCAGCTGGATAAGATAAGATTACTTCCCCAATTTTACACGTGGGGAAACGAAAACTCAGAAAATCAAAGTGATTTGCCTCAAGTTATATAACAACAAGGATGAGGGGCTGGGATCTGAACTCCGTGGCTCTGACTCCAGAGGGACAGGGAACTGGAAGCGCTTTCTCTCCTCTCCCGGGGTGGGGAGAAGAGGCTGGACTCTCTCCTAAGCAGATTTCTCTTTAGCCCAAGGAAGACTTTTTAACTAGAATTGTCCAGAAGCTATGAGCGTCCTGGAAAGGTCACGAGTCCCGTCAGCAGAGGGCCATGGAGTGTCCTGGAGAGGGATTCAGGAGACCTGACACCTATCTTCCTCCTCAGGTCCGAAGGACAGGGCTGCGTCTCTCCTGAGGCCCAGGCCACACCGGGCGGGCCGCGTGTCCCTGTTTCCCTGGGCGGGCCACGGGGGTGCAGGGGGCCTCTGGGGCTTCACCTTCGTCGCTGTCGCTCGTCCCCCGTGGAGTCCGTCGCTGACGNGAACCTCCCTGACGTTGACCTTCTAAACAGTGCCACCGGTGTGACAGGTGGGTATTACAACCCCATTCTGGAGATGCGAAAACTGAGGCTGGAAGAGGGAAATGGCTTACCCAAGAGCTGCGCGTCCGGCCCCTGCGGAGCGGCTCCACCC